ATATTCCCTCTCTTGTTCTGATATTGGTAATTTGCATTTCTTTCTTTCTTTCTTTCTTTCTTTCTTTCTTTCTTTCTTTCTTTCTCTCTCTCTCTCTCTCTCTCCTTTTTTCTTTCTTTTTTCCCTTTAATCAGTTTGGCTAGAGTTTCCCCAATTTTATTGTAAATGGAAAAGGGGCCACATGTTAAACCTGACAAGCTCAGGAGACTGAAAATAACCACAGAGGATGAACATAAAAATTCCTAACTAAGGTGGGCCATGGCGGGAAGTCACATCCTTGGCCTGTAGCTTCCTTGACAAAGGTCAATCTTTATCTTAAGCCTGTCTGTCATATTTTTGCATCTAAGATAACATATCCTTACAATATCAGAGTAATCTCTTTTTCAGACCCCCCAAGGGGCACAACCCACCACACCAGAGCAGCAAACTACCAAGTCCCTCATTGTTATCTTGTTCCCCAAATACTATCTCTATGTGCTATAAAATGCTATTAATTATGCTGTACCCACCAATGTAAAAACAGTGTGTGTCTCTCCATTTTACTTTTTATTCAATCCCAGAGATTCCTCACCCCCACCTTTGCTTTCTCCCACCTCATTAATCTACAACCAATGGATTTCACGTAACCTTCCTCCTTTGATTCTAATGTATAAAATAAGTTGCAAAATGGCCATTTTCTGGAGCATTTTCTCAATCCATTGAGACTTTGCTTCCTGGCAATTGTCGAAAGTTTGGCTCAAATAAACTTTTGTTTTTTTAAATTTTTTTGAGAGTTTATTTGAGCCAACACAATGACATATGCCAGGGAGCAAGATCTCAAATGCTCCCTTAAATAAACTCTTACAAGTTGTCTCTTAGGGTGGATATTTTTCATCAACACTATCAATCTCAAAAAGCCATTCTTTTGACCTCACTTATTTTCTCTATTGCTTTTTGTTTTCTGTTTTGTTGATTTCTGCTCCGATATTTTCATTTTCTCTCTTCTGTTCACCTTTAGATTTAATTTGCTCTTCTTTTCTGGTTTCTCAAGGCAGAAGCTTAGGCCATTGACTTTAAACGTTTATACCTTTCTAGTCTAAGTGCTACAAATTTCCTTTTAAGCATCCCATGATGTTTGACATGTCATGTTTGCATTTTCATTCGATTCAAAATATTTTCTTAATTCCCTGTGATTCCTTCTTTGGTCCATGGGTTATTTAGAAACGTGTGTTTGGTTTCTGATTATTTGAGGATCCTTGAGGTACTATTCTGTTATTGATTTCTAATTTAATTCTGTTGTGGTCAAAGAACATACTCTGAATGATTTGAAAATTTAAATTTTTAGACTTTTTTAAGGCCAAATGGTTTACTTTGGCAATGGTCCTGCATACACTTGAAGATAATATGTATTATGCAGTTGAAGGATGGAGTGTTCTATGAATGCCAATGAGATGAAGTTGTTTGATGGCGTTGATGAAGTCTTCTGTATCCTTACTGATTTTTTTCCCCACTTCTTCTTTCAATTATTGAGAGAGAAGTGTTGAAATCTTCAATTATAATTATGGATTTTTCTATTATTTCTTTCAGTTTGATTAATATTGGAGCATAAGGTTTGTTTTTTTATTTTAAATTTGCAGATGATTCGAATATGCAGCAAGAGTTAAGGAACATTGCCCTAAACCAATCATTCTCAAACTTCAGCATGCATCAGAATTGCTAAGGGGGCTTATTAAAGCCCAGGGTGCTGGGCCCTATTCCCAGAGTTTCTAATTCAGCAGGTCTGGAAGTGATTTGCATTTCTCACAGTTCCTGGGTGATGTGGATGCTGCTTGGTTCAGAAGCCACATTTTAAGAATTACTGACTAAGCCGAAGTTGTTCAACCGTGGTTGGATATTATAATTACCTGAGGCGAGTTAAAAATTATAACACACGGGCTACAACCAGACCAATTAAATTTAAGACATGCATGGGGAAAGAGGGAGTAGCGGGACCCAGATATTGGTATTCTTTAAAGCTCTCCTAAGTGATTGTAATAAATTGTCAAGATGGAGAATCACTGCTCTGTACTAAAGTAATTCTCCGGATTGCCCAAGAAAATCTTTGGGGCTCATTACCAACACTCCATCAGTGTCCCCTGCGTAGAAAAGACTGTGCTGTACCAGCACACCACAGGCTGTATGAATGATCTAGCGTGTTGGGGCAAGGGATTGGATTTTAGCTTCTCCTTCTCTGCTGTCCACATAGCAGTTTCCTCTTTTGTAAAATAAGCCAATATTTCCTGGCCATTTCCTAGAATATACAAAGGTTCTGACAACCAATAACATTCTACCTTTTAACACTGGAAAAAGATTCCATTAACTGAATGCATTTAGAAATTAGAACAATCTTTAATCTAATTATACTTATTTTCTGTAATTGGGATTTTATGTATCGTTTATTTAGAGAAGGAAAATATTGACTAAAAATTATCCAGGCACCCTTTATCCTACCTAACACTTGCAGGGAAATTCATGTGTAACAGAGTTATACTCCAAATAAACTTTAACAGCTGTTCCAGTAACAAAGTCATTAAACAAGAATCTTTTAATTTTCCATTAACCCTACTACTTTCCTTCACTTCAACCTGCACAGAGACTTTGACCAAGGAGAAACCATTCTGGCAGAAGAATTACGACAAACTGTGCTGACATTTTTGGACCACAGCAATAACACAGCCTTCTATTTTCCTTCTCCTTTTCTCCCCACCTATTCTTCTTCTTCTTTTTTTTAATTTTCAGAGTAATTTTACCCAAATTATAAATCATGTAATTTTTACGATAGTCTTGTGAGGCAGGCAGAACAGGTATTGCTGTCCCCATTTTTCAGCTGAGAAAACTAAAGGCAGGCAAAGAAATTGCACAAGGAACTAGTCTATAATGCAGGTTCTTTGGCTGCAGGTACAAATTTTTCTCCACTGACCATGGAGAAAAAATGGACATAAATGCAGACAGAAAAAACAGAGATTTTCAGACAGCCTCAGGAGCCACTTTGAAGATTCACTAGGCAATGGGCCATGGTGGGCAAAAGGAAATTTGTAGAGATGAAGTCATCTAGTCTATTACATCCATTTTACTTATAGGGAACCTGGCTTGCCTTGAGGCAGCTAGAAAGTGTGAAAAGAGTCTAGGATTGCCTGGCAGGAGACCTGAACTCTGGCCTCATTGTGCAGGGTAAACTTTGGACCAACCCACTTAGCCATCAACCTACAGATATTTGCAATCGGATGTCCCACAAGCTTTCCAAATTTGTGTCCCAAAGTATTTCCCCTTCCTCACACATTTCACCACCACCCTCATGTCCTGTGGTGATCATCTCAATAAATGGCCTAGGACAGGATTGTGGGAATCATTCCTCCTGTCCTCCATGTCCCATGTCCTCTCAGTTACCAAATTCTGCTACAAATCATTCAGATCCATCTCCTCTTCCCCATTTCTTCTGTCACTGTCTTATTTCAGGCTCTCACAATGCCTGGCCTGAGTTTGTTTACTATAGTTGTCTAACAGATTTCCTGGCTTTCTTCCACTTTGCCCTGTTTCAATACATCTGCCACCCCACCTGCTACTAGATAGCTTTGTAAAACCGAAATTGTCTGTCATACTCTATTTATTAATCATTTGCTTTGTAGCACCAACTATGGTACATGAAGCCTTAAGTCCCAAGCAGGCTGTCCCAGTCTATTTGTGATTTGGTCTCAGCCTTCTCTCACTTCATCTTTCACCACTCATAACTTCAACCAAGCGCAAGTTTTGCAATTCCTCCACTGTCATCTTTGGCTTTGACACTAATGGTTCATTCTTCCTGGAAGTCTCTCCCTTCCCCTGCCCATTGCCTGGCTAAAATTAGCTCACTCTTCTAGCCAGCTTAAGTTGGAATTTTCCCTGGCACTCCTTTTTGTGTCCCTTTGATATTCCCATAGCATCTTGTGCAAATAAGAGTCACTGTTCATCCTGGACTGTGTTTACCACACATCTATGTCCCTCACTAAACTCTGAGCTATGGGATGGCAAGGGCGGCATCTATTCAGTGTTTGGTGTTGAATATTCATTGAACAAATATTTGAGGACTTACTTTATGCCAAAAGTTGTAGGTGTAAGGGATGCAGCAGTGAAGAAAGCAAAGACACTCCTTGCTCGTGAGTGGGAGGTGACATGATAAATAAATGAACAGATAAATAAGCAAGAGACTATGTAAAGGCTATGTAGAGAATTAAAATAAATCTTATGATGTGAAAGTGAATGCATGGCTACTTTAGATTGGGTTATGTCAGGAAGTTCTCTTTGGGGAAGTGACATTTTTAAGCTGATAAGTGAATGCCATGAGCGAAGTCTTCACAGAGAAGAGCATTCTAGCAGGGAAGACTACCAGTTCAAAGGCCATAGAACCAAAGTCATTGCTTTGTGGCTTCAAGCAAACTTAAAGGCATCTCACCGTGGGAAAGCAGTGAAGATGGCGTCAAAGAAATCAGGAACCCTATTATGCAAACTTTGTAGAAGAGAGTTTTGATTTTGTTCTGAATGTTGTTTGTATTTTTAAAAAGCCCTCTCTCTAGGACTGCTATACGGATAATGGGCTATTAGGAGTGGAAACAGAGACCAGTATGGAGGAGTCAGGCGTGGTGGCTTGGATAGGGTGGTTGCAGTGATTTTGGAGAAGCTCGACACTGGGGATACACGTGTGAGAGGGGCCAGCACCTGCTGGTGAGCAGATGAATTAAGGCTCCGAGCACCTGGGTCGTCACTGGGGCGCAGAGCAGCACTCGGTGACTTCCAGGAGAAGGAGGGCCTCGAAACAGTCCCCGGCTTTCCCGGACTCCCAGCGGCGTCCAGGTCCGGCAGCAGGGAGGAGCCCCGCCCCGTCCCGCCACCGGGGGCCCGCCGGCGCAGGGACGCGAGCAGAGCCGGCGGGCGGCGCGCGCGGATTCGGGGCTCCACGTGCTCGGTGCGGGGGGTTTCCGCGTCCTCCGGGCGTGGCCGGAAGAGGAAGTCGGCGCAGCAGCGGCCGCCCCAGCAACAGCGGCGGCGCCGGCCCAGCACCGCCACGCACCCCTGTCCGGCCGGGTCACGGAGGCAGCGCCGCGGCGGGACCCGGAACCTGTCCCGGCCGAGCAGCGCCGCGCCGCCAGGCGTCCAGCTGTCCGATGGGGCCTCAGCGGCGGCTGCCCTCCGCCGCGACCTCCGCCCTGATCTGGGGCTTCCTGCTCCGGCTGGTAAGAGGGGCGGGCGGGCGCTCGGGCCTCCCCGGGGCGGGGCTGCGGCGGCGGCGGCGGCGGCTCGGGCTCCGGTCCTCCCCTCCTCCCCACCCCCCGGGCTCCCGCCCGGACTCTGCTTGCGGCTACGCGGCCTGCTCGCGTTTTCTCCTCTCCTTCCCCTCCCCTTCCCATCACGCCCTTTCCTTCCAGCCTTCCACCCCCAAAGCCCCCAAAGTATCTACCCCCAAGAAAGCTCTCTGCGGAACCCCTCCTGCTGCCTTGACCTTGGTACTTCTCTCTCGCTTTTCACTGTTCCGGGCATTTAAAAGTGACCTCTGAGATTTATTGTCTTGCCTTTCTAACAGCTTCTTAATTTCTTTTCCTACTTGGGAAGAAGAAAAAATGTACATGAAGGTCATTGGTTCAATTTCAAGGATTGCGCTTTAATTGCACTAATACAGATTTGTGTTGTTTTTTCCCTTCCTCCTCAGTAGTTCCTGCTTTGCCTTAGCGCTTATTTGATTCCATGGGGGGGGGGGCGTTTTGGTAATAGTAATAATTTAAAATAACTTTTAAAAGAACACATCAAAGTGTAATGCCTTTAGTGTCTTTTAGTCCTCTGCTTACTTTAAAGGGAAGAGGAGTAGGTTAAATAAGAGTAACAAATATGTGTTCACAAGTTTGTTTTTATAATTACAGAAAAATAGTGTTTTAACGTTCAACATCAAACAACTGAAGCTTCAGTGGGGGTCAGGAGCCCGTGTTCAGTGGTTTAGTTTTTGTTTCTTGTAAGTTTCACTTAGGGAATTTCAGGTTGGAAACTTTTATGAGCTTTATTTACACAGAATTTGTAGGTTGTATGCCTGACTAGTTCTTTCCATTAGAATGTGTAACTTCTCTGAAAGAGTATACTTTATGTACTCTGTAGTTTAAAGGATTACTATTAGTAAATATATTCAATATGAAAGTGTCTTTAATATTTATTAAGAAACCAAAATCAAAGCCTAAGAACGTATAAGTACCTTTGGTGTATTGAGAATTTGCTAGGCAACCATTAATAACATGAATGAGAATAATGTATCTAAAAATTGCTTGGAGGGGGGGTACAATATAAAGAAAGTAACAAAATAGCAGTGTTAGACTGAATCTTTGAGGTGTTGTTTATCATGTTATCAGATATATCCAAAAGATAACAATTCGGATAGTATGTAAAAGATATAAAACTTGTCTCAGTGCTTTGCACTCATTCAATGACTTAAGCTAATTGTAGGAATATATCTTCTCTATCATATTCCCACTAATCCTTTCTCAACGCTAATAATTAATCTAATACATTAGTTGCTCATAAACTTGCATTGAAATTCTTGTAAAAGCTCTGAACCCTTTCACTAGAAAAATGTAAGCAGAATTTTCATATAATTTCAAGGGCTTCACAAATCTATAGGTTGTCTTTGTTCTACATTGTAGCTAGCCTATTGCTCCCACATTCTAGATTTTATTTTTATATTGCATGTATGTATTTTGTTGTATCTTACTGTGTTAATCTTGGGTTCTATACTCCTCAGTCAGGGTTGTGGAAACTCTGGGAGAGGAAGAAACTCAAGGTTCTTCTTGCTAGTCTTAATAATCAAATAGTCATGAGACAGATTAGCAAGAGAAAATAGGGAACCCTACATACAGGAGAGTCAGAGACCCCCACATGCATGAAAGGTTCGAAGACAAGAGAGGTTAAATGGATATATAAGACATTCCGAGATAGGGATGAGGTAAGATGACTCAGGGACTTCAAAGGTCATTGAAAGATGGTGATAAGAAAAAGCAGATGTTTAGCAAATAGAAGTTTGCCCTGCTGTACAGACAGGTCAAAAGAAGTTGGTTATCTGTGATAATCTTCCAAGGCCCCTAATTCAAGTTCTTCCAGGTAGTCAAGAGAGGGGCAGAAGTTTTTCCTGGCCCACAGCCAACTCTCAACCAACTGAGCCACTCAGCCGGCCCTCTGTCCTCCTCTCTTGACATCCCCTGTAAACTAGGTGTGTTCTGCTACCAAAGCTATCAGGGGGAGACAAGCTAAGCTGCTGTGCTGTGGACTGAATTAAGCCCCCTTCCACTCATATGTTGATGCCCTAACCCCAAAATTGATGATTGGAGATGGGGCCTTTGGGAAGTAATTAGGTTTAGATAAGGTCAGAGGGTCCATCACTTGTGATAGGATTGGTGGCCTTATAAGAAAAGACCAGAGAGCTTGCTGTCTCTCCTTCCCTGCTGCCCTTCCCCACCATGTGAAGACACAGTGAGAAGGTGGCCAGAAGGAAAGCTCTCAACAGAAACCGACCATGCTGGCACCTTTATCTTAGACTTCTAGTCTATAGAACTGTGAGAAAATAATTTTCTGTTTAAGCTACGCACTCTGGTATCTTGTTATGGCAGCCCAAGCTGGCTGAGACAGATTTTGGTACCTGTAGTGGAATGCTGCTGTAACAAACACCTAAACATGTGGAAGCAGCTTGATAACTGGGTAATGGGTAGAGGCTAGAAGAGGTTTGAGGTACATGCTAGAAATATAGACACTAAGGGCGATTCTGGTGAGGTGTCAGACAGAGATGAGTAACTTGTCATTGGCAAATGAAGGAAAGTCGATCCTTGTTATAAAATGGCAAAGAGCTTTGCTGAACTGTGTTCTAGTGTTTTGTGGAAGAAAGAATTGTGAGCAGTAAAATTGGATATTAGCTGAGGGGATTTCTAAGCAAATTGTTCATGGAGTAGCTTGGTTCCTCCTGACTGCAAAAGGAGAAAGTAGAATTGAAGAAGAAATTGTTAAGCAAAAAGGACCCAGAATTTGAAGATTTGGAAAATTCTCAGGCTATCCATATTGCAAAAAAATGAGAAAGCTTGTTCTGAAAAGAACATTAAGGGTGTGGCTGAACAACCGTTTGACAACAAATTTATGGGATTATATGAGACAAACACTGCCAGTTTGAACTGAAGGGGACAGAGATGGGAAAAATGAAGAAAGGTTGTTGGACTTCTTGGATTTGACAGGATGGAATGATGGAACTATATGGCTGTGAATATGCGTTATTCTTCAGGAGGATGGAGAAATGGCCCAAAAGCGATTATTGAGAGATCATCAGGGCCACTGCCTCAGTTTCAACAAGACTTAGGCATTTTCTGGGAGCCTTAAGGTGTGGAATTCCACAGAGCCAAAGGGGTGGGACCACCCCACACAGCCATGCGGGTGATGCTGCCACCCCAGTGGGCCTGGAAGGTGGGACGTTGAGTCTAAAAAGTTTATTCTTGAGCCTTGAGATTTAATGGAATTTGTGTTGCTAGGTTTTGGACTTCATTGGGTCTCAGCACCCCTTTATTATTTCTGACTTCTACCGTTTGAAATGGGAATGTCTATCCTATGCCTATCCCAACATTATATTTTGAAAGTGCATAACAATATGGTTTGGCAGGTTCACAGCCAGAGAGTTTGCCTCAAGATGAATTGTATCTTGAGTCTCATATCTGATTTAGATGATCTTTAGATGAGACTTTGGACTTTAGAGTTGATAATGGAATGAATTAAGATTTTTGGGACTCTTGGGATGGAATGAATGTATTTTGCACGAGAAAGGTGAATTTTGGGGGCTGGGGCAGAATGCTGTAGATTGAATTGGTGCCTCTCAAATTCTTATGTTGAAGCCCTGTCCCCCAATGTGGTATTTGGAGATTGGGCCTTTGAGAGATAACTAGGTTTAGAATGAGGTCATCAGCATGGGGCCCTTATGATGGGATTGTTGCCTTGCTCTCCCTCCCTCCCTCCCCACCTGCTTCCCTCCCTACAATGTGAGGACATGTTGAAAAGGCAGCCATCTACAAGCCAGGAAGAGACCCCTTACCAGAAATTGACCATGCACCTGAGCTTGGACTTTAGGCTCTAGACTGTAGGAAAATAAATATTGATTAAGCCATCAGTCTATGGTATTGTTATGGCAGCCTGAGCTTAGACATGCTGGTTTTGTGACATTCCTTCAACTTTGAGATTCTACAAAATTTTTCTTTTATCTTTTCTCCTCTGATCTGTCTCTAGATTCTGCATCCTATTGTCTGCTTTCTAAGTCACTGATGGCTGTGTTTTCTCCTTCCCCGAGTGCAACTCCTATCCTACACATATATCTCCTTTGAAACTCAAAATAATCCTGAGAAGGTTCAGGAAAATTATGACTTGTCCTAGATCATATAGGAAGTCATCAAAAAGAGGACTAGCACCCAGGGATTCTAGACATTTCTTGATATTTTTTTACTAAGTTTGTGTAATAATGATTTTCTTTTGTGAATCAGAAATATATCACAAAATTGATTGGATAAATTTGTGAATTTATCTATTCACAAGACCCAGAATTTGAAGATTTGGAAAATTCTCAGGCTATCCATAATTGCAAAAAAACGAGAACGCTTGTTCTGAAAAGAACACCAAGGATGTGGCTGAACAATGATTTGATAACAAATTTATGGGATTATGTGAGCAGAAACACTGCCAGTTTGAACTGAACGGGACAGAGATGGGGCAAAATGAAGAAAGGTTGTTCGACTTCTTGGATTTGACAGAATGGGATGATGGAACTATGGGCTTTTGAATATACATTATTCTTCAAGAAAAGGGAGAAATGGCCCTAAAGACTTTCTGAGATCATTGGGACCACTGGTTTGAAGATAGGAGAAGTCACGTTTATTATATATTCAATAGTTTTTTTTTTATTCAAAAACACCTGAAATTGAGTCTGTTTACAAAAATCTAGACCAGAACATCTCCAGGTGTAGCAGTTTACCCCAAGATACATTTTTTTTTTCCATTTGATTGCCTTAGGCCAGAATTTGCCAAACTTTACCATGCCCTTTGGTCTTAACTCTGATTTGTGCATTTATATTATCTGTCTGGCCTTGTAAGTATTTGAGTTTGTGAATTCTAGTGTAACTCTATAAATTCTCTAACAGCTGAGATATGTCATTAAGTAGTAAGATTACTTAGGGAC